GTGTCTAGACTCCAACTACTTCTATAAAGGTATAATTTAATTGTGAAGTGACACTAGCTATTGAAAAACACTACTTCCTATGAATCAATATAAATTTGGAAAAACAAAATATTCCCGAATTTCTTAAAATCAGAAATCCACGCTAACTTTTTTGACATTTATTCTCTGCAAAAGCTGTCAAATTATACATCTTGTAGTATATCACTTTCCAATATGATTGTCCAATCATGATAGGGTTTCATATATAGTGGGAGTGCAGCACGTAATCTTATTCCATCACGTACAGACACCCACATATTTCAAACGAGAAGCAGTGTGATATTGTTCTTTTGCTGAATAGACACCCCGTCTAAAGTGAAACTTTGTCTTTCATTCCTGTTACTCAGGGTAATGTGATAAGGTGGCTGCATAAATCATATACTGTAGAGTGCTTTATTTTGGCTTGGTATTAATTTTTGCTATTTTCGCTGAAGGAGTGGTTCAATGAAAATAAAATCAAGCGAATATACCTGTTTTCCTATATTTTACATCCAACTCGTCAAAAAGAAGTGAAATTCCATGAAAAACACACAAAAAGTATTTTCAGCGAAAATTAAATCTAGCTAAAATAAAGTATTTCACAATATTCAAAGATAAAACAGAACAGAATAGAATAGAATATTTAACTCAAAATAGTGTAAAAAAAATACAAATTTATGGCAAAATTAAACAAACAAAAGAACAAGGACTGTCACAGACAACAATAAAACAAAACTAGAAAACATTTAACAATTTGCATACATTTCTAAAATTCTGTAATAAAAAAAAAACTAAAACAAGTTTATCATTGTACATTGACATTGCTTTTAAAAATTGGCACCTAGCTGTTTCTATCTGTGGGTTCTTGCGCAGACATCTCATTGTCATGAAGTAGATCATCTCATTATATCTGTAGTGTGCGTAATTGATTTTAATACTTTGGTCGTTTTTGTGAGATATCATATGTACCCGTAATATACTGGTACACACATTACAGAATAAGCGGTGACAAGCATGTTGACTGTAACAACTGGAAGTTTAGTTCAAAATATACTACAAAAACGTGTTAGTACCAGGTGCTGCTCTTGAAAATACCTCAGTAGTTGTATTCACCCATGAGCTCATCAAGAGACTCAAGACTTGTTTTTTGCCCCCACGTCGATTGTTCCTATGATTCATGTAGTTATGGTTATTTGGACTTAATGATATGAGAAAATGAAACACTATTTGAGGCACAGAAATAAGTCACATGACTCTCTTGTTCGATATCTTCGTCAGCTATCATTTGCACCTAAAGTTTATTGCGTTTTGATTTACTATGGATCAGAAAGATTCACTTTTGGAATTTTGCAATGGATTGTGTTAGCGGTTGAATTGGATCAAGTCTTGCCACATTTCTCACTAATTAATACAAATAATCTCATCAGAGTGGAATTTTCTCAGATGACCTGATATGTATTTCTCACTAATTAATACAAATAATCTCACCAGAGTGGAATTTTCTCAGATGACCTGATATGTATTTCTCACTAATTATTACAAATAATCTCACCAGAGTGGAATTTTCTCAGATGACCTGATATGTATTTCTCACTAATTATTACAAATAATCTCACCAGAGTGGAATTTTCTCAGATGACCTGATATGTATTTCTCACTAATTAATACAAATAATCTCACCAGAGTGGAATTTTCTCAGATGACCTGATATGTATTTCTCACTAATTAATACAAATAATCTCACCAGAGTGGAATTTTCTCAGATGACCTGATATGTATTTCTCAGCTAGATTTCAACTTTAGAAAGTGTCCAAATATTATGAAAATTCAA